CTACGGTTTACCGGGCAGTTCTATTTGACGATATATATATATATATATATCGTCACAAACAGAACTGCCCGGTAAACCGTAGGCAGAGAGAGAGAAGAGGACAACAAACGAGGGGCTGTGACAAACTGTTTATATATATATATATATTTTTTAAATTTGGTGAAGAATACAATCAGACTCGCTTTCTTTTCCACTTCGCATACATGCAAACAGATGGCAATTCACACTGGCGCAGCGCGCCCACTCAAAGCTCAGAGATATGGAAAAGGAGAACACAGTTCAGTTGCAAAATCGCTTCAACAACCTATGGCCCTTCAGCGCCTGCACACCCAACTCTTGTCACTGTGTCCAACACCACCGTTCACACATACTCAACTGTGGATCACCCTGAATACCCCACACGCTTCCCTCTCTTACACACACACACACACACTAAAGCCTATCTTCCTCCTACAGCAGCTATGGCCGCTTTACTACTACTGACTATGGCTACGTTGTCTCTCTTCAGCCCACTTCGACTTTGGGCGACCTGCAGACCACCTCGCACAAGAAGCTGTAGCAGCGCTTCCGCATGGCCTACGCAGCGAATGAATGAATTGCTGGGCGCTGCTTCTTGATTTATACTTCTGTTTGCCGCTGGTCTGCCCTTTTCCACCAGGCCCTTGCCGCGCACAGCCCCACACGGTACTTGCTTGACCGGACTGAGGGTGACTGGGACTGGTACTGCTGACTGCATGAGGTTGCACTGCCGACTCGACGCAGTTGGACTTGCGAGTCACCTGTAACCCTCTAGCTTAGCAGTTTCGACCTCTACACAGCTATGACCCCTACTCAACAGACCTACAGATCGAAACCCTACAACTACACAGACCTACGACAGACAACAGCGAACTACCGAAACACAGGTCACGGGTTCAAACACTCAGGGGTCAACTTGATACTGTACATGGATAAGGTAAGGTCTGGGGATCGAACTCTAGGGCCCGCATCTGTGACTGCAAATAGGTGAAAACCGTTTCAAGAATTTCGATGTGACCCTGAGGAAAAAGTTGTTCAGTTTATTTTCCTGCATAACATTAGTTTTTTTTTCGTATTTTTCGTTTTTTTTTTTTTTTTTTGCTGCGACCTTCCCTTGTCCTTGCACGGGCTGGCCACCCGGGACCCGGGCGGCCCGGCTGGTAGCCTAGCCTATTATACAATTTGACTAGGCCTGTACGAGATATTTTTAATTCAATCTTATATTTCAAGAAGCTAATATAATACATGACCTTTTCAACTTTTCGTCGTTTTCGAGCAATATGAAGGAAGGGAGGAAGAAACGAAGGAAATGAGACTGACCGGCAATTCAGACTTTACCATGAGAACAGACAGGAACATAGACCGATGCAGCTCGGTCCATTACGCATGCTACAAAACACGAGAATACATCATCCGCACAGCAAAACCTCTGGAGAGTGGTTCGCTCCTTCGAATCCCGTCATCGGTGATGCCGACTTTCACCGAGAAAACCACCATAATACCATATCCAAACCGCATTCACGCGGCCAGACCCCGAAATGCGTTTCGGCTAGTACTCCGCATGCAGCACTCTTCAAACAGTTGAAGCTACTGTGATTGCTAAGACAAGTAGTGGGTGGGTCTAATAAAATAGTTAATTAAACTTAATTTGCAGACGAAAGCGTGTCTAGGAGACTTACTTCAAGTGTTAGGCTATGGAGAAGGTGGAGGAAAGCTCGGAGGAGACTTGTTTCAAGTTTTGACTATGGAGACCTGTTGTCTCTACTCCTATGGTGATGGGCAACCAACAGCACATTGAAGAAAAAACACTCTCTGCAAATATCACGAAGGCCCATTTGGATTTATTTATTTATTTATTTTTATTTTTATTTTTTTTAAAACGAAGGCCCATTTGGGACGTCGGTTAGAATTGGAACAAAATGGAGAAGATTAGCATGGCCCCTGCGCAAGCATGACATGCATAAATCCAGAAATGGTCCAAAAAATAAATAAAATGAAGAGTTTAGGCCCCTTAGGACAACCAGCCCAGGTGGGTGAATGGTACACCAATGAAGCATTGACAAACAGACCTGAGTTCACATCCTGATAGACTCAAAAGGAAAAAACATCTCTGAATTACCTGGCGCCATTCCGATCGGTGAAGATACCTCAAGGCGTAGCCCTTTCATTTGTTTTTGGAAGGCCCCCTTTGGGGTTCCACTGTACATTGAATTCATCGGAGAGTGTGGCATTCATGTCACTGCTGATGGAGACGAAAGTCCAGGGTGTGTTGTCCGCTGTATATCCCGCTTAAGCTGTGGGCTGCATTGCAATTCATAGTAGGAGAGCTGAAGGGAGGAGGAAGTCGAGTAGGAGAGCTAAAGGGAGGAGGACGACGAGCAAGCGTAGGAGCTCTGACGGGAGGCTCTTTGTTACTGCCACAAACACTGTGCTGTAAAGAGCCTCTCTCTCTCTCTCTCTCTCTCTCTCTCTCTCTCTCTCTCTCTCTCTCTCTCTCTCTCTCTCTCTCTCTCTCTCTCTCTC